AAAATAGTAGCTGTTGAAATGATCTATCATAGAGCCATTTTCACCATCGTGATGATTTCTTATGGGGTTTTTTTATTTGGCTTTATGGAAAGGCATCTGATTCCAGAGGCCCATTGGCACACAGTCATGTGTGCAGCACACACTCCGCTGTGCCTTGTTTGAGGGTTTTAATCCAGAGTCAAAAGTTTTCAATTATTTAATTTTTAAACCATTTTATATTGGTGAGTTTTTCACTCAAAATGACTTTTTTTTTATCCTATTTTCTGGGTGGGATGACTGAGGGGGTGAGCAGAGTGAGGAGGATTTTTGGCAGATATTCTTGTGGAGATATTTATTTAACGATGATGGTCACTCAGTCAAATATCTCATGTCTGTTGTAAAGATCAGAAAGTGCCTAGGGTTCAGATAGGTATTTGTCATAAATTGAAATAAATAATAGTCTATATACGTGCTTGTCTGTCTATAAAATATTATGGGTCAGGCTGGGAGCTGACGAGGGCTTTCCCTGAAATTGCAGCTCTGGGCTGCTTCAGGCTGTTCAGGTCCAGCCATCTGAACTGAGAGCGGGAAGACTCTCTTTCCTGAGCTCTCAATGGGACCTGCCCCTGCTGGGCCCAGGTCTCTGGGGGAAGAAGCTGCCTAAGTCAAATGGAGAAGGGCCAGAAGGAAGAATGGGACGGCGGGACAGGGAGTGTGGGTGGAGGGGTGACTGGTGGCCAGGTTGCTGGGTAGGGTTGCCAACCCCTGCCCCGCCTCTTCCCCCAAGTCCCCGCCCCCATCGCCCTTCTTCCCTCCTCCCCCCATCACTCACTGCATTTCCACTCTCCCCTCTACCCAAGTCAGGAGGGACTAGCCTGCAGAGCCAGGGCTGGGAGCTGCAGTCACCCAATGCAGGTAGGAGGGAGCCCTGGCTGAGTAGGGGCTGGTGCCGGTGATGACCTGGCACCTCCCCACTCGCAGTAACCAGACTTTGGATGTCTGGTCAGGTGCCCTTTTCGACCAGACTTTCCTGTCGAAATCTGGTCACCTGGCCACCCTATTGCTGCGGGAGAGACAAATCAATTAAGGACATGGGTGAGGAGGAACGGGGATTGGCTGGGCATGGAGACGGAGGAGAAGCAGCTGGGGAGCTGGCAGGAACAGGGAGTAGGTGGGCAAGGAGATTGGGACTGGGTATGGGTGGAGACTGGGTCAGGGAGTCCAGAAGAATGAGACGGAGATTTGTTGAGCAAGGAGTCTGAGATTGGGGCTGATTAGGTGAGGAGAATGGGGCCGGGACAAGCCATGGTGTGAAAGTGACAAGACTGGGACACAAAGATAGATTGGTGGGAATGGGGTAGGAGGGGTCTGGAAGGGAACCCAAGGATCCTGAGTCTCCTCATTCTTCTGCTGTTAGCAACTGTGTGTGAAATGCACTGGAAAAGTGCCCCATCCCTCGCTAGTGCTGATCCACATAGAGGATGACAACCAAATAATACTATGTTATTCCATTAACTCAAGTGGCAGAGCTTGGTGTGATGGCTCTAAAGGTTTCAACCCTGTTGTTCAGTACACAATCTTGATTCATTCCCAGAGCAGGTCCATCCCGTTCACTGAAGGAGGGAGGAAACCTGGAAAAATTTGTTATGTGATCATGTAATTGAAGACCGTATGATAATGCATACTTGCAAGGGGGCCGAACTAATGTTGTACAAATAACCTTAATTCTGGCATTTCCTCCCTTTTGAGTGCCGACTTTGCAACCTTAATAATGTTCTTTTAATATAGGGGGGTTTGTGTGTAATATATTTTCCATGAGATCAGTTTTTTTGTGAGATCATAAATAGTGAGGGCAGGGGAAAATCACTTATAGCATCCACCCACACTGCTTAGCTGTTCTCTTTGAGATGATATCCTTATTAGGTTTTTACTCAATCTTTTCTCATGCAAAATCCCCATTTACTTTAATGGAGTCTTTTGAACCAGTGAAAATTTCAGTGTTTCACTGTCATTGCCATTATCATTTAATCCTACTGTTCTTGAATATTTGCAGTGATGGTTCCTCAACCATATCACTCGGTCATCCATTCCACTGCGTATTTGCTTTGGCTCTTAATAACTTTTCCCTAATATTTAGCTTGAATTTTCTTTCCTTAGCTTTAGACCATTGTTCTTGGAAGCTTTGCTGAGCAGTCTTAAGTTTCACACTCCCTAAATCATCTCTGCCTATCAGCATTCACATGCACTGTGATTACTTTATGGTTCGCGTCAAATAAAATACAAATCCCTTAAAGCACCGCGGACACGCTTCTGGCCCTTACTGAGTGATAATGAGCCACTGTCGCCCTGTCTGTGCCAAGAAATTACATAATATTAGAACACATGGTTACCTAACCTGGTGTAGTTTCCTGATGTAGACAAGGTCTATGGTGATTGAAGTGGGAGCCTTAGGAGAGTTTTGGGTTAGAAATTAATGCACGAGGCTGGGAACTAAGAATTCTGTATCTAATCCTGGGTCTGATACCAACTCTTCCTGTGGCCTTTGGCAAGTCGTTTACACCCCATTCCTACGGACAGTTATGCAAATGCTCAAACTGTGAACATGTGAGTAGTCCCTTTGACCTCAATGGCAGTATTCATCGGCTTAAAGCTTAGCATGTGCGTATGCATTTGTGAAACTAAGTGCTCTGCCTTGCTTTCCTTACCTGTAGAACAAGGATACTACCAGGGGCACTGGGAAGGTTAATTCTTATTTCTAAGGACAGGTTTCAGGGTAGCAGCCGTGTTAGTCTGTATCCTCATAAAGAACAGGAGTACTTGTGGCACCTTAGAGACTA